TTCTTTCAGCTTTAGCATCACAAGAAACTTCACCTTTCTCTGCTGAGGATGTCTTTTCATGGCAAGAAATACCTTTTTGTAAGATCCATAAAACACCACTGTACTTTGTTTCAGTTTTTTTGGAAAAGCTGAAGTCACTTATAAGTATGTCTTAGTCTATTAAACTGCTATAACAAAATACACTAAACGGAGTAACCTAAAAACAGCAAGAACATGTCTCAAATTTCTAGAGGCTGGGAAATCCAAGATGAAAGTGCCAACAGATTCAGTGTGGAGCGAGGGCTTGTTTTCTCTGCTCCATAGGCATTGCTTACCTTGCTGTGCCCCACCCAGGGGAAAGGGCTAAGTAGCTCTCTGGCTTCCCTGAGATCAGGGTGCTCCTTCCTCTAGGATTGGCAGAGCCCTCATGACCAAATAACTCTCAGACTCACTGCCTTCTAGCAGCTTGGTTTTAGAATTAGATCATGTTTTTACAACCAATTAATTTGGGGAGATACCCACGTACAGAGTTTGAGCATACTTCTTAGAACCAGGAATATAAAGTTATACAGGCCTCCTGCAAGAACTTCCTTTTCTAAGGAGTCTGGCATCTTGAATTAACATAAGTCAGCACCTGATTAAGATTATAGCAGCTGCAGATTCTATATCTTCTTTAGTGGAAAAACAATGCCATTTCCCTTATCTTAAAATTGATCCTAATACTTTATCTTTTGTGATACTGTTATATCATCTCATATAATTACTTATTAGTGGTTATTATAATAGCATCAGCTAGTTCATATTAGACATCTTCCCATTGATTGATCACAATAGCTTCTAGTGATTTATGTGTATTCAAGATGCTTTTATATGTTCTACAAATCTATTTGGTTTCAACATTTTAGGTTGTATTGCCTTTTTAATTTACCAGGCACAGATTTCAATATGAACCTGTCCATAATATTATATAGAGAAAAGATAACAAAGAACTCATTTAATCATCTTTCTCTGACTGCTAACAATTTAAAATGAATAAACTTTTTGCTAGAATTCTACAAATATAATATTAAATATTACCAAATACTATATTATATTCCCAGTAAATCTGGTGGTTTTGATGTAAAGACTCTAAATCAGAGCCTGTGGCATTAGCTCCTGGTGTATTTAAACCATGAACATTATCCAGACAGAGCTATAAAGCATCTCTCGTGAGAAACAGTATTTTCGGAGGTCACACTGATAACGAATTTGGGCTTTCAAGAGGTTTAGGCAAAACAATTTCAGACTGATTTATAACGTACTTTTAAGCAGCTAAATATAAATTTGCAAGAGAGAAAGAAAGATACAGCTGACACTTTTAACTTTAATTCATAGTATTCATAAAGACAGCTTGATTGAGGGAAGGTAACTCATTTAAAAGAAGGCATGAATAACTCATAGGTCAGCTGAGTTATTAACCGTGGTAAATGTGCTGTTCACCTCTGCTTATTGTGCTTCTTTGCAAAACTCTGTTCATGAGGAATTAGAAGGCAGAAATGGCAAGAAGAAAAGGCAAGATGGCATGAAAAGAGCAAGAGACATTAGAAAATCATTCCATCTTGACTGTGCTGTTAGATGTCTTCGCACCCCAGGGCCTCAATGCTTCCAACTGTGTGAAATGAGTGGGTTTAACTCAAGGACCTCACAGATATTACTACCCTGCTATTTCAGAGTCAAAATGATTCCTTTTGCTTGCTTTCTAACAGTCTTTAATATAACCTTCATGCTAAAATTTCTCACATCTTTGCTCTTTGGATAGACAAAGAGCTTACCCACTACCTAAGATTTTGATTCAAGATTGATGAAGCCTGGCAGGAGATCTATTTAGGGATATTAGCAGTTTCTTACATTAGCAGTTTATTCTCTGCCCAAGGAACACATTTCACTAAAAATATCTCAAACATCCATTCCAGTTGTTAGACTTTATATGCCACAGACACCATACTGATACATTTTCATCTAAAATGTCTCACACCCTCCAGAATTGTGAAATTAGAAACCAGCCCAAACAGACAGGTTGTGGTTTCCAATTGCAGAGAAATAGGCATCCTGCACAATGTGATGCTCCCTCCCTCAAATTCACATGTGACGGGGGAGTGGGGAAGCATATTGTCTCCCCTCCCTTCTTAAGACATCATTTCCCAGGGTCTAAGGGTCTTTTTGAGAATTTCCCAGGAAACCAAGATTCAGAGCCTCTATCCACATTACTACTGCTGAAGTCACATTCTTGGCCAAGAAGGAGAATTCCTGAGGGTGGCATCCTTACACTGCTGTGTCTCCCTGAGACTTCTTGGTCAGTAAGAAGCCTCTCAAAGCCAAAAGTCTGATTAGCATCTTTCTCTCTTCCCTGGAGACCTTAAAGCTTCCAAAAATGCAAAACAAGCCCCTTCAAAAGTATCTTGAGAAATCTGGCTATGTCAACATTTCTTTCCTATTAGCAGAAAAATCTCTATTCAGCCCTGAAGCTATTTTTAAAAAAAAAATCTAATTATTTTAGGACTCGCTGCTGTCTCATGTTCTGATCCCAGAGCTCCCCCTTGTGCCCTGATGGGAAATTGATTCAAGAGAAAACTAAAGGTCATTTGGACTGTGCAGATCAAGTAATTCCTTACTGCTCCTATGTGTCCACCTCAATTACCATCCCAATTCCAATTAAAATTTTATCAAGAACCACATGAAGGACCACACCCTGAACACTGATCTTTTAACTTAGTGTTTTTAGTAAACTAAGATGCAAGAAGAAAAAAATGAGAATTGTAGGGGGAAAAAGGAATAAGTAAAATTACAGGATGTAAGTTAAGACAAATGTTTTTCAAGTTTAAATATGCATCATAATTGACATGATTTTTTGAAATATTCAGATGCTCAGCACTAAAATGTTCTGTACATTTCAAAAATCAATTTTAAAAATAGATGCCCAAAGGTATTCTGCAAAGAGCATGAAGTTTCCGAAGTGGCAAAGATTGCCAGAGGTCAAAAGAAAAACTTAATAGTTTCTTCCACATTAGGAAAATTTTAGTTGCCAACTGCTATCCTTTAAACTCCTGAGACTGTTTTCAGGAAATGAGTCTTGGGGGAGGGAATAGACAGGATGGAGAATAATGTGAGGAATTACTCTGATCAAGAAACATTGAATGAACTGTAAGAAATGAAACAAGGTTTTTATTCCTTTGTTGCTGTTATAGTTTTCTGTACCTTTTGTCTTTTTTGTAGGTTTATCTGTTTGGGGGAACACAGAAATGGCGGGACAAAGGGTGAACAAATGTGCAATGATAGTCACTAGACACTGCTGAAAATTAACTATACCACTTGTTGGAAGGGAGGTCGGAAGGGAAAAACTTGGAGAGAGCCAGAAAGAGGTGACATTGTTCAGAAAGAAATGTACTCATTACCTGACCTACATAACTGTAACCCCTTTGTACAACACCTTTACAATAGCAAGAAGTAAAAATATATTGAACACTTAGATGGACACATTAAATTGTAACTTCTTGTATAGCCTTTTGAAGTTCAGAAAGAGAGAATTATTTTAAAAAATGAGAATTTGCCTGGATGAGTCAGACAATCATTTGTTTTCCAAAGGTCACACCTCATATTTAGAAGCACCACCTTTAGTCAGAGACCTGGAAAGAGCTCAGGGTCATCAAGATAGACTCAGATGATTCATAGATGGTCTGATAAAGACCCTCAAAGTACTATCATCAGTAGGATGAGCACCTGAACTCAAAGCTACTAGTGGACTATCAGAGACTGAGGAAGACCTGTGCTTTTGTTGCTGGAATCATTGAACATATCTTTTTCATAAAGGCAGAGGTTGGTGGAAGAATCCTCTCTCGTTCAAAAGCATCTGCCTCTTCCTGTTCCTCTCACTGCTACCTATTACCTCTTATTCTTGAATCACATTATTCTCTCACCTTGAATAGATGAAGAGAAAAATTAATTCACAGATCTATGTGAACCACAGAGAAGTACTTGGTGGGAAGTGAGTGCTACAGTGGCTTTACACCCCAAAATGAACCGAAAATACTGTGATGCCACTGGAAATATTTTTAGGATACAAAAATACTTTAAGCCATGCTTAGACTAGGAGTTTCAATCCACACATAACATGGAGGAAATAAATAAAAATCTCTCAATGGTTATTGCAAAACTGGCAAAACCAAATAAAATCTGTTGTTTTCTTTTTTAAATGTATATTTTTGCATTTTGATGGAGGAAAATATGTAAATAAAACTATGATTGAAAGGGATCTTCATCCTAGTGAGATTTAAAGTAATCTACTCCTTGAATAATATATAAATGAAGGAATTAAAATCAAGACACATTTATTTAAATGTCCCTGATGCCATGAAAGCAGTCTTTAAGTTGAGTTTCTTGAGCCCAGAAAATGGCTTGTATTCTCCCTCAAAAATGGCTAGTGTCCTCCCTCAAAGTTAATTGTATTAATCATATAAATGTATTAATCAAATAAATGTATTAATCATATAATAAGAGCCAGTACCTCAGTGCCAATCAGTCTACTGAACTGAATTAGACTTCATAGATCAGTCTTGCCTTAAGGATTCTGCTACCATTAATCAATAACCTGAAGAACTGGTAATGAATCCTTAACATTTCACCCGGTAGTGGTTTGTCTAGACGTATACCCTAGGAGAGTTTCTACTCCAGTTCTCAAGGAATGGGAGGCTAATGGGTCAGGATACTAGCTGGAGTTATTTATATATTGCCTATACTTTCAAGAGACTTAGCCACTCGAGGCAAATGGAACAAAGGAGCATCATGAAATAGTCTGGAAAGTACTAAGATTGGGTAAAGCCTATTCTATCCATGCTTCTACACATCTCTACAACAAAAACTTATAGATTCATTTGTCCTTCTGCTTTTTCCCTAAGAAGTATGTCTTTACATAGTAATAATCTGAAGAGTTTTATTTATAAAACCAAATATAGAAGTGGAATGATAATCCCAAAGAAAAATAATACCTGGGAACTGAAATCAGACCCGCTCCAGATTTAGCAGGATTACACCTCATTTTCACAGCAGTTGACCGACCATTAATGCAAGATGTTGTAGTTGTGGAAGACCTATTACAAAAGATGTGATATTTTTTAAAAAAAACATATATTGTATAGATTACAAAGACAAAAATATGTGTATAATTGCTCTCATGTTCTAGAAGCTAGTGAAAAAAATGTATTAAAGTTCACTAATTTAGAGTTTTCATGCAAGGTTAACAATATCACTAGGTAAGGCTATATGCAAAGTTTCTAGGAAAACTATTAGAATTTTAGCCAAAATTATAATCAAAATATTTTTAAATAATAGAGATCATTTCTCCTTGGCATGATGTAGGAATTAGAAGTAATTACTTCCAAGACAATGAACTATAATCTCTTTATTGCCTAATTTTAAAGAATACATGTCTTTAAAATATATATTGAGAGAAATTATATCATGCTTTCAAATTATACCATGTTTCTTTTTACTAAATCATTTAATGGTCAACATTTTCTGTTTCTATTTCAGGAGGTTTTGTGCCAGTACTTGAATTCTGGGGTTCATACTCTCAGTGAGTTTTCCACTCATGGCTGGTGCTCTAAAACTACTGAGATAATTTAAGATAACAGTCTTAGTTTTTGACTGCTCAGGCTAGTATTGAAGTGTGATTCTCAGATCTTAGCCTCCTGAGTAACTAAGGTTATAGGAATGAGCCACCAGAACTGGTAAAGGCCATTTTTAATTGTTTATTAAGCACAAACTATTATGCTAAACACACAGAGGTGACACAACTTTCTTGCCACTAGGAGCTTGTAGTCCAAAATGACAGAAAAAAATCTATGAGTTTTTTTATATGCAATATAATCAAGGGAAGCAGCATCTTCACTTACCTATAAAAGAAATTCACATCTGGTATTTGGCTTGGTGAAGCTGGAAACATATCTTCTCTTATATTAATGTGTTGCAAAGTGGTTTCAACAGTCACTCCTAAATGACATTTACAAAGAAACCATTCAGCAATATGGGAAAAATAGATTTATTCAGTCTCTACGATTCTGAGTAGAAGATAGCTTTACGTTGATGACTATCATTTCAGAAGAAATGTATTAAATCAATACAAATGGTGTAAAATAAAAAGAAATTTTTAAAAATCTCTAGAATAGAAAGATACTACTCAGCTTTGTAATTTAGCTTAAGTAATTTCACCTCTCTGGTTCTTATTTCTGTGTAAAATGCACACCGCAATTTAGATGGTGTTTAATTTCCCTTCCACTCCTACAATTTTGAATGCCTACTATTAAGATTGTTATCTGCTGCTGAGTTTTGTCAAACAAGCTGGACTACTTTGATAGTTCAGTGAGGGATTTTTTTTGTTTACAACAAATACACCCATTTAACAAAGCAAAAAAAAAAAATCTGCAGTCAGGTGTGGTGGTGCATACTGTGGTTCCAGTACATGGGAGGATCCAAAGAGCCTGGACAATAAAATACGAACATTTTGGGAGAAAAAAAGAGGTTTCACTAATAATGTATAGCAATCCTCAAACTTCCTTGTTCTAAAGAAGAAAACAAACAAGATTTTTTTTCTATTTATTCTGGGTAAAGTGGTATTAGAATCACAACTCCAACAGCAAGGAAAGCAACGTTTGCTTCTAAGGCCAAGTCCTGATGCTGAGCACAAGCCTAGTAGCTGGCCTTGGTGCTGAAATGTGAAGTAAAATTCCTCTGGAGTCTGAAGAAATAGTTTTCAAATCTGGCTGCACAGCAGAATCATTTATATTAAAATCATATATGCCTGGACCCCACCATGCTCCCTTGGTTCCAATGAACCTGATTCCTAGATCAGGATCACCAGAAACCTGGATTCTTCTTAAAATTTTACCTTTAAAGACCACAGACAGAGATGGGCACTTAAAAATTTACCTTTCAGGACCATAGTGAGTGCGTGGAAATAAAATTCAGCACCTCATCTTTTCTAACAGCTCATTTCTGGTAGGAAAATGGCTGGTAAAACTAGAAGCACACACCATGATTTGGATTTATATTATTTTTGTTTAGTGTTCTTATTTTTGTCTTTGATTTTTATTTTTAAAATTACTTTGTGTCTTAGAGTCTTAGAAAATCTAATATATGGCACAGATCATCAGAAAATGTATCATATATGAATTAAAACCTAACTTAAGAATCTTCTTGGAATCTCTGAGATGACCAACAAACCCCATATTTGTAGGCTTCTTAACTACTTTACAAAAGACCATTGAAATTATATGCAGGCCTTAATCATCTATGGGAAACACCAATGCACTGACAAGTTATTGCTACCATAGTATTAAAATATATGCAAGCATATGTTAGTCATGGGCAACTTACCTAAAAAGGTATCTGCCAGAATTATGGATTGAGATGATAAAGCTGCTCGGAAACCCTTACTTTCAGATGGAATAATAGTCGACTGGCATACAAATGCTCCTACCAAATTTATGTAATCATCTGACCCTGTAACCATTTCCTTTACAGTAAAGTCAGATATGTTATTGGTACAGAGCGCCATCTTCTTCCCCTAAGAAAATAAAGTCATAAGTGAGAGGTTTCCCAAGCATGAGTCTCTAAACTGAATCTCAGTTAATAGGCCACTCTAGTAAAGTGATGTCTCTCTACAGCAGAGATCCTGATTTAATGGACCTGGGCTGAGGCCCAGGCATTGCCATTCCCTAAAGGCTCCTATGGTTATTCCAATGTTTGACCTGGACTGAGACTCACTGCAGTTGTTCCAGATGCATTCATCCTCCACTACATGTGTCATTTGTTTTAGATGAAAGCCATTAAACCCCCAAAAACAAAGGTCATCTATGAAAAGTTCAATTCAAAGAATAGCATTCAAAGAAACCAGCAAAATACAGCTTCATAGGCCTAAATATGGAGAAAAGTTTAAGGCTGAAGAATGTCTAAAAGCCATGTTATGGCAGAGTCTTGAATAGGATATCGGATTTCTAAACAGTGGTCAACACTCTCCTTACTCACCTACTCTGAGATGTAATGATAATGATAGACATGTTTACTTAGACAGTAAACTGAAGACTTCAAGGGTTTAACTTTTTAAATCATTGCAGGTTAATTGAAAGATATCATATATGAACTATAGAAGACCATTTAAATAGTGTGTTTATACTATAGGCTCACTGCAAAAAAACAGCATTTTCCATCATTTTTACAAATAAATGTAAAAAAATGGCAAGCAATTTTATGAATGCATACACAGGCATCAAGTATAAAGATTTCTCTGCTTAATTTAACTTGCAATTCAAATATACAATTTTTTCTCCCCCTACTAGGCCTTCTCATCAAAATACAACTATCTTTTAACTAAGCCTAAACAAATTGTTGAAGCCAATGCAAATAATGGAAAACAGCACTGATAAGAAAATTAGGAAAGGAGGGAAATAACAGACCCAAAGTAACAAATGAGAATAAAAGAAAGAGGACAAAGAGAAAAACAAAGGATGGGAGACAAATTATCACAATAGGAGAAAAGAGGTTAAAATGTGATAAATAATGGAAGTGACCTCATTTGCTACCTCATGAAAATATCTTTCATATATATGTATTTACTTCTGAATTGACAGGGGGACCAACCAGTCTAGTGAGTATGTAGGATCACCACATGTGAAGTCAGGACAGGACAAAGCACACCATGTAGATTTCATAGAGCTTTTCTGTGGTACTAATGGCTCATTTATTTCCTTTGAACAAGTCTGGCTCAGATATCACTATGCGAACAATTATATAGGCATTTATATAAAGAGAGACATGGAGAAATGCTTTGTTGTATTTTCATAGTTGTTAATCATGTGTGTGCCACACACACACACACACACACACACACACACACACACACATTCTTCTCAATCACAACCCCAGGTCTGTAGAAATATTGGACATACAGTTCTTTTACTCTCTCATTAACAATATCAACATCCTCCTTTCCCCCAATCTGGAAGTGAATATCTTATTATTTATTCACAGACCCTACCTTAACAATTAACATTTGGCCCCACATACTTCCTTTCCTTCAGACAATAATTCTCTTGAAATTCTTTGTAAAACACACAATGAACAATATCAATTTAATAGTTAACTTTAGGTGCAAACATAACTGGATTAAGGAATGTCTACAGAACTTCTAAGGTGCTAATTCCACGTGGGTATTTGAGGATGTTCCAGGAGAACACCAGTCTGTGGATGAGTGGACTGGGTAGAGAAGATGGCTCTCAATTTGAGTGGGCAACATTTAATGGCTGGGGCTTCAGACAGAACTAAGAAGCAAAAGAAAGGCATCCCTGGAGCTTCTCCTGGAGCTGGGTCACTGTTCTCCTACCAGAGACACCAAAACTCCAGATTCTCAACCTCTGAGATTCCAGAACTTATACCAGTAGTGTCTCAGTTTTCAGGCCCTCAATTTCAGGCTGAGAATTATACCATTGGCTTCTCTAGTCTGAGGCCTTTGGACGTAAGACTGAGCCATACAACCAGCATCTCAAGGTCTCCAGCTCACAAACAGCCTATCATAAGAATTCTGACTTGATAATCCTGTGCAGCAATTCTCCTAATAAAATCCTCTGATATGTATGGAATATATATAACATATGGTACATATATGACATATACAATATGTACCATATATTTCAATATATGATATATCATATATACCATATATATATCCTACATATATGATTTTATTACTTCCTATATCTCTAACAAATACATAAACAACAGTAAAACTTTTCTCAAATCATAACTGGTGAAGGAGGTGACATTATCCAAATGCATTGTACTCATAAATTGACATTGCAAACTGTGCAACTTCTTACAGATGTATTTTTAATTAGGTGAGCTTGCAAAACCTGACCCACTTATATCCCATTTCCTATGAAAGATTGAAAAGAAGCCCTCAATGCGCTTAAACTACAGCTCCAAGCCCTGCAGTTCAGATGACTGGATAAGTGCTTTATAAACCAAGGACTAGGGGAGGTTGCTCCTGGTAGACAAAGCTGTCAGTATGACAATATGACAGGAGCTAACAGAGGGTTTTAACACACAGCTAGGCTTGTGAGCTTGGTTGTTAGTTCCCATAGTAGTATTCATCAACACAGAGATATCTACTCAGAGCTGCCATAAAACTCCATCTTGCCGCGACAGCTAAGAACTCACCTCATGCCCACATAAACTGATATTGAAGAAATGGAAGTATTTTGTTCCTTTGGAGGTGAAGCTGGGACCATTCATTAACGAGCCCACACTGCTGAGGTTGCTGAAGTCATAGTGCAAACTCTGGTTCTCTTTTTCATGATAGAAAAAGCAGTCACTGTAGCAAACTGAGTGGTCCTTCATTTAAAGATTAAAAAAAAACAGCATTGCAGGAAATTATTAACTGCTACTAAAAAGTATGTTTCAGAAAGGCCTAAATGAACATTTTCAAAATTTTTCTTCTACTTAAGATAGTATCATTCTAATATAGAAGATTTCTAAATAGATTTTTCTAGGCAAAGGTCAGAGGATTCAAAATTTTTCCAAGTCAGAGAAATTTTCTGAAGTTGGTTTCTTAATAAAAGGTGTTTTTCTAAGAAATAGTAAATGTTCCCTGTAGTGCTAGCTTATGCTGATAATTAAAAAAATTCTCGTTTAACCTTGATACATTGCTTTTCAATCATTGGGAGATATGTCCACTGCTTCTCGGATAGCTCCCACAGCCAGTCTATGGAAGGAGTTCACTTGTTCTATCACGGCAGTGCACTAGATACCAATTTTTAATATTTTGGAGAGGAATTCTTATTAGAATGATTTTCTTCATAATCTATGTCCCTCATAATTAGCACCTTCATAGTATATTCAGTGCTCAATAAATGTAAGAGAGCTTACATTCTTTTTTTCAGAATAGCAACTTCAAGTTCCTAGAGATAAATGAAGGGAAGCCTTGAGTTTCCTTATTAAAAGGTACTTTGTTAGGCTAACTAAGGTGCAGATCTACTTACCTGAGTGCTTTTACTTCCAGGCCCACAGGGAATACAAGCTTCCTTGCCATAGACCTGATGTATGGACAGGTATGTATCAGGTGGGCACTCTTTGCACTGGTTTGTTTCTTTCTCAATATAGTGGCCTGGGGGGCAGGGGACACACGATGAACCCAATTGTTCAGAACCAAGGGCACAGGCATGGCATGAAGAGGCCACCCCATCAACTGCATTCGTGGTTGTGATAGAATAAATCTTCACCATGTCATTGATGAACCGTCTATTCTAAAAAGAAGAGCAGAAAGAATTGACTCTGCCTTGGAGCCTGTATTATGTCGGTATCCACCAAACAACCAAGAACATTATGAAGCTCCACAATTGGCATTAAGCATGTCATACGAGTATAAAGTTGGACATATTTATAGACTTTACATTTGGAGGATCTGTTTTACTTTAACAGAGGAACATTGTCTCTCATCACTGTTTAGTATGGCAAGGGTTGAAAAACCTTGGCCTATAGTTCCTTGGACTAGGAACTATAAAATCTTAGAAGTCTAGGACCTCTTTTGCTCACACAATTACTGTGTAATATTTATACTGTGTTATGTTTCTAGCACCACTTTCTTGAGCCTTTTCTTTCCTCCCTAACCCTTTCCTTAGCCCTCCCAGCCAAACTCCTACCTCTACTGAAAGGATGTAGAATAGCACTGAGTTTTTGCTACTTGTAGCCATGAGTTAATTAAGACCTGGTTTTTAATCAAGCAATGAACATTAGTCCAATATTTCTAAGTGTTTTCAAACTACTTTATGCTTCTGTCTAGACAAATATAAAAAGAAGGTAAAGAAGTGGTAAGTTTTTATCCTGTACTTGATCTCTCAAAATGGTTGTTTGAATCCTCTCAAAGAATAATGGGGATTAAGTACAATCTGGGGAATTAGTGTCCCACTAAAATTCTGAAGGGAGAAGAGAAAATGCACTATGTTTGCTGTCATAGCAACAAAGCCACTTCTCAACAGATTTTTGCCTTGTTCTTACCCTAGGATGGTCATGTCCATGGAGGCCTACAAGAGTAGCAGTTCCTGCTACTATTGAAACATACAATGTGATTTACTTAAGGGAGTATTAGGCCTATTCTAATAAGAACAGTGAGGAAAAAAGAGAAATGAGTCTCTGTAACAACACATACAAAAACATTCTCTACAAAGAAATATTACCATAAAGAAAAGAAATCACACAAATTAATGACTCCTAGACAAATGTCAGATCCATGAGAGGAAAATGAATAAAGTTACTCCCCTTTCCAATGTCTCAGGAAGTTTTAAATACATGTTTTTTAATTGCTACAATATTGTATTTTCTCTTTGGCTTTGATATTTGTATTTATATGGAGTTCTGAATAATTCAAAGCCATATTATACCACGTTATCTAATTTATGCATTCTGATTCTTCCATAATGAAAGAGTTTTTATACTTCTCCATTACATAATCAAATGCCCAATTCCAAGTCAATAAAAAGCTGTCTTCTTTGGATTTCAGTAGTTACTTTGTCTATACCTCCACAAGGGGGCATCATCATTGTGTTTTACTAAGTATGTAAGTAGACAAGACAGACAGACAGACTGATTGATTGATTGATTGCTTGATTTGAACTTACATCTTGGCCTTGATTCGTTCTCTGGAATGCCCATGTAAATGTAAATGTTGCATTCTTGAAGATGATGTGAGTATATGCTTGCTTCTCTTTGGTTCCACCCCATGACTCCACTACATTGGTACTTTTTCTATTAATATCCTAAAACAACAGGAAAAAATAAATGCAACTTAAGCAGAGTCAGCATTATTCTATATATGTATACATTACAAATATGTGTTGTGTTTAAACACCATAGAGATTGTGACTATCTGCTATGCATGTAACTCTATAACTTTCAAAATTCCTCTTAAGTCTTAACAAGCACCTTGTGTCCTTAGGAATACACTGTATCAATGAAAGTGTCAACATAGTTTAAAAGATGTCTATTTAAGGGTTAGGTTTATTGTTTTGTGCCTATGTGTGATTCTAGCTTGGGAAATACACATAGAAGAGGACATATAATTCCTCAGAGTCCTCAAAGAAAATTGTAGCATTCTCATCAAATAGACCAGTAGACCAGTCTTCCATTTCTATGCCCTCACATAAAAAACCTAAATTCCCCTGAACTGTACTTGCAACTTACAGGTTCATCTAAATGGAAGCTAACTAGAACATTATTCTTAATGTCCATGAAAAACTCACCAGCTCATATTTAAGTTCAGCTAGCTTTGATTTGTATAATATTTTATTTCTAATAAGCCTTATTCAAGATTTAGAATACAGATTTTTAGATATTCCCATCAATATTCTATCATCCACTTAGCTACAAAGAAAATATAATTCAAGCAAATAATGTAATAACATCTAATTTATTTAAATGAAAATTAAAGCTAGTCCTCTGTGCAGAAACACTGATAAATGACTTAAGAACTTGGATGGGTTCTCATTTGTTATTTGGATATTGACAAATCGTGTGCCATAAGCTAAACACACGTGTCTTCCTTTTCCCCTATAATCTAAACATAAGAATCAAATACATTATTAAGTAATCATATATGTTATAAGGGGTCATCTTGAATTCATACCACTGATAGAAATAATGGAAACTTCTTGTCATAATTACAGAATCCCATTAACAAATAACCAAATAGTCACCCTTGTCTCCAAAACCCAGCTCAGCATGTACAATGTTTAACTACATATCACAGTTCTAAGTTATAATAAATGGAATTCATTACATTACTACAAATAATATTACCTTATATTTTGTAAGTATTTTAAAAAACATTTTACGTTATTTAATATCTCCAAAAGTTACTGTTTTGGGAGAGGCTAAAGGAAACTAGCATGTTCTGATGCAAGCTAAAATCTCTGGAATATTTTTGCAAAAATAACAATGTTTTGCAAAAATAAATAAATAATGTGGACTAGTCATGGTGGCCTACTCTCATGCCTCAAGGCTTTTAAAACACAAATTGCTGTAGCTCATTTGCAGAATTCCTCACTTAATAAATCTAAAATGGGTCTCTGAACATTGCAGTATAGCCAAATTAACATTCAGGGACTGACACAGAATTGCAACTTCTAGTCTGGCCAAGAATAACAGTGTGAGCTACAGTCTTAAATACATAAGTAAATAAATTAATTAATCTTCAGTACAGAGGGGTAGGACAAGATTACAAATAAAAGTGATAAGACTCAAGAAACAATTCAAATACTATATTCTGATGCAGGAAACAAGAATAGAATCAGAAATCATAAATGAGGTCATAGGACAGCTGAAAGCAATGAACAAACCAAAAGGTATAAGAAAAAAAGCAGAAAGCTTCAGGCAGGGTCTGAATTCATGCAACCCCCTTCCAGGAACTGCATCCTGACAAGTGCTGCCAGGTGTGACTGGAAGACTAGAGCTTAAGCTTTCCAAACCATGATTTTCATAGCAAACATTCCCCAACATACCACACCCCCACACACAATGCTGAGAAGATCTGAAAACATGTTCTCCCCTTCCAATTCAGACAGAGTATCAGGGCTGGAAGACAAAGTCGATGTGATAGAACACACAGAAAAGACAAAGAAGAAAAATAAAGAAGTGGGAACACAAGAGGACCACTAAAGTCAAAAACCTACAAAACATGGGCATAAAAGGAGATGAAATGCATGATTAAAAAAACAGAAACATACTTGATAAAGGCAAATATTGAATGCTTTTTCCTCATATACAGAATCTAGACTTTTTAAAACATGAAAGACATGAGTGTAAATTCACATTGTTGGGGTCTGGACCAGGTAGGAAAGAGAGGGTAAAAGAAGAGAATGATGTGTCTAAAGGAACTGGGCAATAGTAGCCCACACCTATAATCTTTGCTACTCAAGAGGCTGACACTTAGAGGATCATGGTTTGAAGTCAGACAAGGCAGAAAAGTCTGTGGAGTGCCACCTCTAATTAACCAGCAAAATGCCAGATGGAGGGGTGTGGCTCAAGTGGTAGAGCACCAGCTGTGAGAAAGAAAGCCAAGTGAACTCACAAGGTCCTGAGTTCAAGCCATAGAACCAACACAAAAAATTGTTTAAAAGTGGGAGAAAAAATAAAGTACAATAGATAGAATGAGTTTGATCAAATTAAATTATATGCATACATGGAAATACAACAATGAAATTTCTTCATACAACTAATATACACTAATTTATCAAAAACAAACATGACTCTTATCCTCAGGATTGCCTCATTAAATGAAAGTGACAAAAATGTCACATATTTAAGTAGGATTTTTATCAATGAATTCTATATGTGTACACTAGATGATGGTTAATTTTATTTAAAGCAGTAACAGAAAGCTTCCCAGAAGAGGTGAAGTTTGAGCTGCCCTTAAGCACAAATGGGAGTTTAGCAGACAAAATAGCTAATATAAGTTCTAGATTGTTCTGGATTGGAATAAGTTAGGCATGGCAAATGCAAAAGGACCATTTCCCATCACAGAAACATTAAGGCAACAAAAGAGAGATTCATGGGCATAGCAAAGACTGGTGTGGTAAGAGGTGAGCTCAATAACTTAAAAAGTCATAGAAATGCCATGCTAAGAAAGTATGAAATACATTCAAGGTTCATTAGTCCCCAAACTTTGGAATGTATAAGAACCCCATCTTAAGGTTTGCTTATATATTTCATCCAAGTTCCACTTTCAGTTAAGACTCTGGAGAGACCCTGAAATTTTCATTCCTACCACATTTTCAGGTGATGGTGCGGCTATTATGCCAGGGAATACACTTTTAAAAATTGTCTCTACCTCTATTATTATTGCATACAGGTTATTTTTAATAACAGCAGCACGTATACGAGAGTGGAACTGAAAATAAAACAGAACACAACTGAACATCTACTTGAGAGATAAGAGAAATTTGAATTTCCATGATGGTACTGACTGTGATCTAACAGATTAAAGAAATAGGGAAAGAGAGCTGGGACATCTGACAACTTAATGACTGGTGGTGGTATTACAGAAAATTGTGTTGAAGATTATCCATGACCCTTTACTATGTTGGTATTTTTTCATAACAAAATAGTTTGCCTTTGCCTAAGCTGTCAGCAGTAATAAATGAAATGTTGAAATTTCCACGTAGCTCATCTATCAAGGAAGAAATTGTTAATCGACTATTATCTAACTACTGAAAGAGCATTATTGAAAACACAAAAAGAAAGAAGAGCTATATAGTGGCTATAAATAATACTGAGTGGGCAACAACCTTCTAAAAATCTACTTGCAGTCTTGGTGAAGTTGTTAGTTTTCCTCTCATTCGGAGTGAAAATTTGAATCACATATAGAAAACTCAAACTCTCCATGATCAACTAATGCTCTCTTTCTGGACATCAATTGCACAATTCTTAATGAATTTGGGGGAATATTTAAATGTTTGTAGAAAGCCCTAAAAATGTCAAAAAATGAGAATCTTCTCCCAGCTTGTATAAAAATTCACACCCAATGATAAACTTCAAAATCTGCCTTTCACTTACCACCATGAAATACAGAACACAATCGGCCGAACAGAGAGTCTCAAAGACAAATGTTACTCTTCCTAGTTCAGAACCTGTGGCTCCCGTCACAGAAGTTGGTGGCCTATGGGACACATTAAACAACAATTTTTATAGTATGTTCTAAATACAACTTGGATTAGATTAAGCCATTTTTCTCATCAAACTGAGAAAAGTCATGCTTGTCTCTTTCCCTAACCTGCTTTCTCCAAAGTGCAGCCCCTTCCCTCACCCATCTCTGCCTGTCTACACCCCATTTACTGTAGATCTACGCACCTGTTATAACAAGGTTGACTCTCCTGCTGTAAATACTGTGCTATTCTTAAAACAAGTAAAAGATTCCTACTTGTTGAGAAATCAGCAAAATAAAATCAATTAATAAGTAATATGCTACTTTTCAGATGAGAAAAATTAAATATATAAGCCAAAAAGAAATTTCCCTAAACTGCTTAGATTAAATCATCTTCATGTAGCATCTAAGAATCATAGTTATTACAGTGTTATATTATTGTTAAATTTTTCCAGGTTCATCTGAGGAACGTACAACTAACACATTGAATCTGTAACTGTTGCAACAGACATTCTTAAATCTTATTTATCACCCTGTGACAAGTTATTATGCACTAAGCACTTTGAAGAATTTGCCTAATATAATGGCAGCCCTATTTTATCTCTTTCTCTCTCTCTCCACACACACACACACACACACACACACACACACACACACACATACACACACGTAGGTGTGAAGGTTCTTATGAAAATAACTCTTATGGAAAGAATTGATTGTCCTTACTTAAATCCTGGAATATGCAAATTTAAGATCAAGTAATCATTATCAGAACCACCAGCTCCACTCTGGATGTGATCTCCAGCTACCTCCCAACCTGAAAACAATAATAAATAACTTTCATTAGGGAAAATTCCATTCATAAGTTCCAAAAAATCTTTTTTTTTTTTTGGTCCGGTCATGGGGCCTGAACTCTGGGCCTGGGCGCCGTCCCTCAGCTCTTCAGCTCAAGGCTAACACTCTACCACTTGAACCACAGCGCCACTTCCGGCTTTTTTTTTTTTTGCTTATGTGGTGCTGAGGAATTGAACCCAGGGCCTCGAGCATGCAAGGCAAGTGCTCTACCACTGAGCCACCTTCCCAGCCCCCAAAAAATCTTTTTAAAACAAGGTAAAAATAAAATGTAGAATAGTACTCTGAAGAATTCTCTGTGTGTGAGAGGGACAGAGACAGACAGACAAACAGAGTATACTAGTCCTGGGGGGGCTAGAACTCAATGTCTGGGTGCTCTCCCTGAACTCTTTTGCTCAACTTCATGCTCTACATTTGAGCCACTGTTCTACTTCCATCTTTTTGATAGTTTATTGGAGATAAGCATCTCATGGGCATTCCTGCCCAGACTGGCTTTGAACCATGATCTTCTGATCTCAGCCTTCTGAGTAGCTAGAAAACAGATGCCCTGATCAAAATTCTCTATTTTTAACAGTTGTAAACCATAGGCAAAGACAGGCTTCCATATACCAATAAATACTTTGTAATTGTACTATTTTGGATAAACTTTAATTAAGTTGAATGAATTAAGTACTAATAACTATGAACCTGTAGACCATAGAACATTGGGGATTTCTCTTATGAGAACATTGGGCGTATTGTTTAAATACATAGAATATCAATTAGTTGGATACACAGAATACTTACATACATAGAATATCAAGATAAGACAAGATCTCACTCACTGTGGAGTAATATGAGATCTGTCCTCTGTACAGCAATAATCAACATACCATAAACTGAAATTACCAAACATGAAAGAAGAGAATCACCCATATATACATGCAAGTAAAGAGAGTAAATAAAGGCAATATATCACATTAACACTTTCATCTCCAAAGAAAAATATCTGTTACTACAAGAAATACAATAAAGAAACTGAGGAAAGGATTGTGATCAGTGGTAGACTGATGATTTATCAATTCTTCAGATGTTATAATCAACAGTTTATAGCAAAGCATTCTTAAACATACACCAATCAAGCTACTTGTATAAAAGAAGCTACTTCTATAAAAGAAATGCGGAGTGTTCTCTTGTCTACAGGCTCATGTGGTTGAAACGAAAGAGAAACCATTATCAAATGCTCACCATAAGAATTGAATACCTATAAAACAACCTGGCCCAATAGGAAAAGATGCCTTCCATTGCAGAATAGGTAATGGGAAGAATTTAGGTTTAAATACTGAAAGTTTGTTGTGGGAGTAAGAGATATAGCAGTGTTCCCGAAATAGAACAATCTACACCAAGGAAGGCAAGACTTTACAAATGTGTCTTTTACAACAGAGCATCAGAGAAGGCTAAAACAAAAGAAAAGAAAGCAAGTGGTAAAGGGCTAATAAAGGGAAGAATATGTAGAGGGAGCTACTATGCTTCAAGGGAAAACAAACATTTGTTGTGTTTCAGTATTGCCTGTTGTGTGGTACTCCAGTTTCCCTCATCTTTCTTACTTCTAAGAAATACAGAATACCTTGACTTACAGCTTTCATGTTATTTTTCCCCCTGTAAGCTTGAACCCAAGCGGGGAGCCTTAAATCTTATCACAGATACTGATAAAGGTGTTTAATAGTTGTCCAAAACATGGAAACTACCGGATTCTGAGACAAATTCCTCAAACCCTAATAAATTCCACCCAATACTCAGTTGTAGACACAACTATGTAGAACATTCTTTGTCCACTGTGCCTTCAACCAGGATGTGTTGCAGACCCCAGTGTCTGGAAGTTCTCTTAATACATATTCTGGACTAATCACCCTGGCATTTAGTTGTCCTTTCTTTGGAGTCACATACAACTCCAGTTCTGAACAGTTTTGGGAAGTTCCCTATGGAAACTTATGTTACTGCTTTTAAAAAGTTTAGGAAACAGAATAACTGTTGTGGTGGATTGAATGTCTCCCCAAATAGCCATGCTTAAATGCTAATCCCCAAAATACAGGAATAGGATCTTAATAGAAAATAGAAGACTAGGAAAAATATAATCCAAATATGGACAAACAGACAGGGAAAACACCAGGTGACACAGCATGTAGTGAAGGAGGCCAGGTGAAGATGACGATAGAGATCACAATTACACTGCTATAAACAAAAGAACACCTGGCGCCAGCAGGGGCTGGAAGAGAGGAGAATAACACTTCCCCAGCCTCATGGTTCTAGAGAAGATGGCCTGCCAACACCTTGATTTATGTATGGCCTCCCAACTTTGGAGAATACATTTATTTGTATTATTTTGAGGCATCCAGTTTGCGGTGTTTTCTGTTATGGATGCTTTAGTAAACCATCCCTGAGGAATGGCACCAAAGAGGAAAAAGATAAAGGAGTCCAGTGGTTTGAAATTCTAGACTCTCAGTGTGAGAGAATTTCTGTCAGTGTACAGAAAAGCAATTAAACCAAAAAAGCAATACAAAGACCTTGAAAAGGAACTGGAGGGTGAATCTCAATCTGTCTGTCAAGGTATGGACCATCACTGTCTGGGAGAAATACATGAGTTTAAATGACCTAAGAGGCCACCTTTCAAAAATGTGAAATTGTGGAATTCACGTATTTTGTTCAACCCAATGTTATCTTGATATGAAATTCATATAAATTACTAGTAGATATATAACTTGCAATGTATTTTTAGTACATTAGTGTCCACTTTATGCTTTTTAAGCATTTCAAACTGGCCATATTTCAAGCACTTAATGGACTAGTGGACACCATTTACTACAATCTATCTCAAGAGTATAAAGCAGAGATCTGAGAATAAGGCAGATTAAGGTTAGTAGAAATCCAAGAGATACCTTCCCCTAGTTAAATTATACAGAAAGTATTAGCAAAAAATGTTGATTTCAAAGGCATATGCTGTTAAATAGTCGAACAACTATTTTAATTTTTACATATACCTTTTTTAGCTTTTCCCTTCATGGACAGTTTTACAAGATTATATGAAATGTTGTATTTTTCCATTCTCACTAACAGTTAATCCCATATTTTTATGTTTTTATCTATACTTTACATTTTAAGATCTATTTAAAATCTATTTCTATTTATTATAAAAAATTTTAAGGACATAAGAAATTTTAACATGAAAACTAAAATCATTTCTACCAGATCAGCCAGGAAAACTCAGCACTAAAATTTTGTATGGTTTCCTTTCACTGCCTTCAAAGTGTACATATTTTTATCTCACTGAGCTCTTACAAAAGATAACATTGTGTATCATGGTTTTAGAAATTAGTATCATTGAATAGGCAAATAAAAACTTAATCAACATGTAAATAATAATATTTTATCATTTGGATACCATTGACCCATATAATTTACTAAATAATTCATAATTCAGGATGGAGGTAACTATTATAAATGAGGATTTATAATGCATATATTTTGGTAACTTTTTTATTTCTTAAAAAGAATCACTACAAAACAACTATTGTATCAAAATAATATATATTTCAACAAATACCTTCTGCTGTTATAACGATTTTGAAAACAATGTGTGTCTATAAGGAATATTTATAAAATGTAATAAACTAAATGAAAAAAATGAATTGATTTCATACTTCACAGAAACCTCTCTATTCCAAGGGCTAGCATTAACATTTTCATGTATTGATGGATATTCTTTCTACTCTCTATATTTAAATACACTTTAGGGTTTATTGTATAACTTAGTTTATTTTCTGGTTTTTCCAGTTTGCATTGTATTTTTGTTTTTCTAATTATATCAAAACATTTCTCCATTAAGCATCTTTTCTACATCTATTTTAATAATAACACTGTATAGCCAATCGTAATTTCACTTAACCATAGTCTACTCTTGAAAATTTAGTTTGTTTTTACTCTTATTGAAAAAGAACAAAATTAACATATTATATGTTAGTTCTTTCTCTAATTAATATTTCCTTGGTATAGATCCCAAAAAGTTGTTATTGAGTTATACAAAAGAAAAACTACATGTTCTTGAAACATTGCTGCAAATTTAGATAACTGAAGTTTCTCTTGTTGTAAACAATGATCAAGGAACTCTTTCAAGAGTAATCAGAAACTTATCACCAACCTTGCTGTTAGGCAAAATTCTAATACACAAAAGTTTACTTCTTTGTACCTGTTTCGCAACTGTGTAACATTCAGGATGAGGATCCTGACTCTCCCACATGACACAATGAAGTCAGGCTAAACACTCCCACATCAACCCCATGATTATGTGGGAGACTGTTTTGAGACAACTATCCTTATACCTCTCAAGTTCACTTAATTTGCGCTTCCCAAAGCTGGTGACTGAACCATCCTGTCACACACAAAAATGTACTAATCCGACCTTATTTGTAGGTTCATTATACACAGTCAAAAACAACAAAAATCCTTGGGGAAAATAAAGTCTTACTTGTGTACTGTGCAGCTTGGTTTTTGTGGGAAAGATCTCATTCATTCCCACATTGTCACCAGTTGCGTTTAAATCATTTAGTATCTCCCAGCCCTTAATTTTGTGAAAATATGCTTACCAAAAAGCAAATGATGCCCAGAAGAGCAAGGTAAAAGTTAGACCCCCAAGCCAAAAGAAGCAGGAATGTGCTTAATTTCAAAAGATGAAGTATAAGTTTTGGATTTTTCAAAAGGCTACATGTCATTAGCAAAATAAAGCAGTGTTTTAGGAAAGATAAACTAAACCTTGGCACTACAGCACTGAACTCTGCATTCTACACATTTGTAGTTTTCCTCAAGAGCATTCTCCTTGCAACCCAATACCCACAGACACCTTTTTATACTCTTATTGCTCATTGGAATCTCAGTCCATATACTACAACACAGATTTTCATTTTTTAAAATTAATAGCTGAACATCTCTGGAAATCAGCCCAAATTGAAATTTTAGACTGAAAAAAGTAATAAATCAAGTATTATCATGAGGGTTACATCTTTCAATAAGCTCAAATAAAAGCTCTAAACAATCTCTTCTAGTAAATTAACATATACATACATATACATCTACAAATACACATATATATTAGCTTCATTTATTTAATACTCTTATTTTCTGCATTCATCTTAAATTCCTAAACTTAGAATTCAATCCAAGGGACACAGTTTAGGAACATAAACTCTTACTGTTAGATAATAATTATTACAGTTTTTTTTCTTCTTAAAAATAAATTCCTCAAAGATAGAATAATGGTTAGTAAAGAGATATGTGTCATATTTGATACATAGTAGGTCTTAATCTTTATGCACAGACATAAACTTTTATCATATTCTGTCCTATGATGTATACCTCACTTCCTGTTTCTCAATCCTTTGTATTTTAGGTTAAGTGCTGATTTAACACATGTACAATTTAAAAACCAACAATCAAACAAAATATGGAGAAAGTAAGCTGACAGAAGTCATAGATAAAGTCATAGAACGTATTTCGGTGTAAAGACCTTTTACATATAAGAATCACCTTAGAATAATTACACCTTAGAATATTTGTGTAATATTATATATATATATATATATATTCCATATAACATGGTTATTCATTCAGTCCACAAATACTGTAGAATTAAACAAATTCAGCAATTGTCTTATGAAACTCGGCCACAATTTCAAGTTTTCAATGAGAGGTTCATATACATCTTAGAGAGATCATTATAAAATTCAGAAACGTGAATTTGAGATTGTTTAACCCTTCCCATGCCACAGTGCTGAACCAAATTAAGAAATGCTGACATAATACTGTTTAACATGGTAAATAATATAGGTTTTGTTCTCTCTTTATTTATTTATTCTTGTTTTTGCAGATATAAATGGTGATTCTAGATATCTACTTCAAAATTTATTCCAGCTGGAGTAAATTACAGGCCTAAGCCTGTAATCCTAGTTCCTAAAAGGAAGGCTGAGATCTGAGGATCATGATTCAAAGCTAGGCCAGGCAGGAAAATCCATGAGATCCTTATCTCCAATAAACTACCAAAAAAAAGCTGGAAGTGCAGCTGTGGCTCAACTGTTAGATGGCTATCCTTGAGCAAAGAACAAGCAAACAAACAAAAGAGCTCAGGTTCAGTGCTCAGGCCCTGATTTCAATCCCCAAGACTGTCTTTTAAAAAGTGACTTCAAAAAAATGAAAGATTAATATCATAGTCCCCCTTCCGTTATCCTCGGGGATTGGTTTCAAAGACTGGAGAATACTGAATATTACTGTTCAATGCCATTTCTACCTTAACACAGCTATAACTTCTGCAATTTGAGATATGAAAGCAACATTAGCACAAATTTATTCTTCTTCACAATTTCATGGTGACATATGTTCTCAGCATAGATTTAGCTACCTCAATATCCAATTTATATTCTTTGTTACTACATTGAGAGCTTCCACGTTTTCACTCAAAGGAAATGGTTTATAGCTTCTCTTTGGCATTCTGCTTTGAAGTCATTGTTAAGATAAAATAAGGAGTGTTTTGAACACGAGCACTTGTGTAAACTGGACAGGTGAATGTCATAGCCAAAATGGATACTATGTGACTAATAGAGAAGTGGCAGGTGCAGGCAAACAAACATAATTCCCATCCTACAAGAGACAAAGAAGGATGGCATGTGATTTCATCAGCTACTAAGAACAGTATGCAATTTAAAGCTCAGAAAGTGTTGTTTTTTTTTTCTGGGCTTGTCCATTTAATGTTTGCAGACTGCTGTGGCTGTGAGTTAACTGAAACTGCAGAAAGAAAAATCCTGGGAAACTACTACTGTAACTTATATTCATAAAGGAATATCATCTGATTTTTTTCCTACTTTAATGTGAAGGCTGGAAGAGCGACACACAGCCAAATAAACTTCAAGTTCTTGGTACCTATATTTGATGCATTAGAAATGTTGTCCCTCCTGACAGAATTGAATTCAAACTCACCATTCATTCCATCACACTTAGAATTCCCAACATTAAAGCAGGAGGTCTTCATGTTGCTAGGAAGGACATTCCACCATTTATATTCAAACCCGAGTGCTGGCTCTGTTCCTGCTGGACATGGTTGACATTCTACAGAAGACAAGTGAAGTAAGTAATTACAATTACACTACATCTAAAGCAACAAAGAAATCATCTTATAAATATGTTAGAAACAATAGCAAGAAAGAAAAACAATTTGAGTCCTTATCTTGGGGTTCATTTTGCCTAACATCAACTTGTCTGACCATTTCTGCTTGTCTCAGACATATACTAGTTATTACAAATATGTCGAAAAATGAACTTTACAACTTTGGTGGGGGGGTGGATGGAAGAAGGCAGGGATGGTAAGGGAAAACAAAGAAGGAGGCAACAATGCTTGATAAGAAATGTACTCATTACCTTGCCCATGTAATTGTAACCCTTCTGTATGGCATTTTCACAATAAAAAACTTATTAATTTAAAAAAATTACACTACATCTGAACATCTGTTCCAAGCATCACTAAACTATAATCAGGAGAGACAAAAGTGGGAAGGAGAAATATTAGACTACCAATTATTTTAGAAATGACTAACTTTTTCAAAATTGAGCTTAAAATGCTTGTATATATTATGGATGTTTATGCATATATTTGGTGTTGTCCTCATATATTGGATGGCAATGTATATTGTAGTATACTCAATAAAGGTATATCTGCATACACATCCTTGGAAACACTTATATAAGGAATTCGCTACCGATATTAAAAGACAGACTACTTCTAAGACTGTGTTATTCTAACATCATTAAAACAGCTATCCTAATAGGCTAAAGAAAAGTTATTGTGCTCTCACAATTCCTTCATATTTCTCAACTATTCTAGTCTAAATGAGAAAACATAATATTCTTTGAATGGAATTGTCCATAAATACAATTTAGAACAAGATCAAAGTAGCCAAACAAGATTATTTTGTTAGGGGTCCAATTCATGAGCCAGTGGACATCTTACCCTTTGTTCCATCTGAAAATGTCCCAGGAGCACAGGGATGGCAAGAAGATGATCCATTGTTATAAAATCCAGGGTTGCAAGGTGGACAATCCTTCTTCTCTCCAGAAGGGGGCAATCTAATAGCATCTGTAACATCCTCCCGGCAGATTTTGGGCTCTATCCACTTGTACATTATCTGTGTCTGCAAAATAAAGCAGGCAATTCATATACCATTCTTGCAACACAAACATTACATGGATAACCTGAGAAAAGTGCAAACAGTGGCAGAAGAGAAGAGCCAGCTGAAATAATTTAAAATATGAGTGTCAAAAGATAAAAGAAAAAATACATCATTGTGAAAACAATCATGATGTTGGAAGTATTTTTGCCCTAAACTCCTGATAATCTGACAACATAGATAACATGCTCCTCATCATGAAATTCCTCTTTAAAATATAAACAACCTGATTTTTCTGGTATCCACCCTTTCACTTTATTCTAGAACCGACAGTTTATATACAGTGACTTTTTCTTTTCCATTTGAGACATCTACTGCTCCCTTTCCTTTTCTTCAGCCAGGATACATACCATCATGTTTTGCATGGAATAGTCACAATAGAAAAAATTAAAATTTTCAAAAAAATAAATCCACTTTCACATTCTAGTCTAAATATCATGCAAGTGCCAGTGTTTACTGTTTCCTTCTAAATAACCTGATTAAATTAGACTTCACGAGCTGAAGCTAAACTACTAGTGCATGTACTCTGAGCTTGAGGAGTAAGACTAAGTAGACAGCCTCTCTTCTCCAGAATCATGGGTTTAACCCATACTTTAATTCCTTCCCACACATGCATTCATCTACACAGAAACCAATGCACGAGAAAATAGCTGGAACTTAAGCCGAACCCCAAAAGAAAGCTATTACATAAAATTACTTATCATTTTGAAATCAAAATGATCAAATGAGTTCTGAAACAAAACTGATATACAGGATAGAAGAAAAGTAAGATATCCTCTGCAAACAGAAAAATAAACCAACTCTTTTCTCACAAAATATATTTTAAAATATCTAAATGTTCCTTTGATTGGATATATAATAATCTGAAGGTATTCTTTTACCTTTAAAACAATTCCTCCAATAAGAAGACAATCAATAAAGCTGGTGAGCCAAAATTACAGGCAATCTTCTCATATTATTTCTGGCTAGTAGAAAATCATGTAAAGTAATAAGTAAGCCCTTAACAACACTCACTTTTTTGAACAAGAGGTATTTTATTTCTTGTTTTTGTTTTCTTTCCTTTCATTTTGTCTGTCTTTGGGAAGGTAAAAAGGGGAATAGTGATAGAGGCACAAAGAGTGAACAAATGGAACAGTGGCACTCACCGAACATTATGTTGAAAATGAACCATACAACTTGTGGGTGGAGACAGGAAGGAAACACTGGGAGGAAGCTAAGGGAAGGGGTGACATTGTCCAAAAACAAATGTACTCTTTGCCTGGCTTACAAAACTGTAACCCTTCTGAATATCACTTTTTAAATTAATTTACTTTATTGCTATTATAGAGGAGAAGTACAGAGGGATAACAAATACATGAGTAGGTAATGGGTACATTTCCATTGGTACAGTGTCTTCTGTTCCCTTACTCCCAGCCCCTCCCTCCCATCTCCACCCACGAGCTACAGAGTTCACTTTCATCAGTGTCCAGTGAGTTCCACTACTGAACTTTCTCACCATTTTTCCTTTGAGTGCTGATCCCTCCCCCCCACCACTGCCACCTTCCTGAAGATACACACATGAGTACACCATACATAACGTAAAGAAAACAGAACTATCAAAAACTAAAAAAAGTCTTTTGTTTCCATATCTTGGAGTTTTTTCAGTATGTATGTTATGTTATATAAATATAAAGAGGCATTGAAGCATTGCACCTTTGTGTTTCTCTCCTAAGAGTTTTCTCTTTTGGTCTCACGGTATGTAAATATCTAGACTCCTGTATAATTTAAGACCACTCAATTTTATCCTCAAGAATTCTTACAGAGGAGTAGATTATCGTACACTAAGGATACTTAAGAAAATGTTTAAAGGGAGACATCTCAACTATAAACAATATTTTTTTTCTTTTAATAACTCCCTTTCCCACATTCATTTTATGGCTTATGTCATGATACATTTTAACCAGAACTTCACCCATCTGCCTCTGTGACCATCTGTAAAATAATGACTACTCCAGCTGGGACATCATAAATAGCTAAAAAAATAATTAATGTTGTATCTATAAAGGGCTATTAACTCCCATCAAGAAAGGAAAAATGCAGAGAACCTAACATCATAAATTTGAGGGACAGGCTTTTTTAAATTCTTTCTTAACAAGTACAGAAAACAAATTTCAGGTCACCAATTCCCTTGTTTATTTTGACATTAATAGGAGGGCTGAGCTGCTATACCCTTGGGAATGTGGGTCCTCACATGGGAGTTTGGGCTATTATTACCAATATAACCTTCTTAACAACTACGGGAAGTGTTTGTTATTATTCTCAAGATTTACAAATAATGAAACAATCCAGATTAGAGCTGCTGAACATCTCTCCCCAAATCACTTACAATCGCTAAGTGATAAAATAGTACCAGTCAAGGAGAATCATGTAGGTAGGAATAAAAATAATGATATATGCAATTACATTTTGAGAAGTCAGCTAACCATAGAACTTCCATGTTCCAAACATATAAAATTTTTAGAAATTAGAAATTAGGAAATGTGTGCCTTTGAACATTTAAACATGCCAGTGTCAAATTTCAGAAGCTCTGTAGTGAAACTTTGTTTACATAGTTCTGGCTTGCATAGCAGACTGATTCTGCCTCTCCAAGGGGGACAGATGCTTTCAAGTTTAGCTGATTTAAAAAGACAATAATTAATATTAATGACACAACACCAGATGGCTCATGATGCAAGTGAAACATCAACAATCCACTCATTCTCGGAGTTCATAATTGTTGAGATACAGCTATAATATGTTTCTTTGTGAAATGAACTCTAACAGGAAAATTTACCAGATTATTTTTCACATTGTAAAAGCCATGATGCCTGTTTCTATTAAGCTTGAAAAAAAAACATTAAAAAAATAAACACAAAGAAGTCCAGGCTTATTATCCTGGCTACTCAGAAGGCTCAGACCAGGAGGATCTGGTTCAAAGCCAGGCAAAAAATTCACAAGAGTGCCATCTCAACCAATAAATCCTGAATATGGTGGCATGCACCTGTCTTCCAGCTATATATCCATGCTCAACGTCCATACCTTTAAGTAGTCCACAGCCTCCCAATTACCTATCAACATTTATCTCATTGTTTATCTATAAGTTTTACTCAGTCTGTTCTATCATCTGTTTCTGTCCTGTTCCCCACTCCAAATGTTCAACGATCTCAGTTGTCATCATCCTTTATAGAAAAGATACCATGAGGCTCTAATACTCGCTACAGAAGGTTCACACCAAGACTTTAAACAAGAAAATTTTCTAGACTTAGATTGTGGTAAAAAAAAAAACAAAACAAAACACAGAATTAATCACTGCTAAATGGATGCAGTTTATGGTGTGAGACTTCTATCTCAATAAAAATGTTTTCAAGGTTTGTTTAAAGACTAAAATATTTACTTTAAACTACTTTAGAAATACCTAAATGCTGAGAAATACCATATAGTTTTTTGTCCTTTTTTTTTTTTTTTTTTTGGTCAATCATGGGGTCTGAACTCTGGGCCTAGGCGCTGTCCCTCAGTTCTTCAGCTGAAGGCTAGAGCTCTACCACTTGAGCCAGACCACCAATTCCAGCTTTTTTTCTGCTTATGTAATGTTGAGGAATCAAACCCAGGGCCTCATGCATGCAAGGCAAGCACTCTACCACCTTCCCAGCCCCATATTGTCCTTTTTTATAAACATAGATTCCAAATGTATCTAACTAACTTAATTCATACACAAAGTCAGTTAGAAGAACAGATCCCTCTATGCCTTGCTTTTTTTTTAACTATCCCTCCATATTAGCCCTGACATGTATTTCAGAAGTACATAGACAAGGAGCTTTAGAATGATTTGCAATATTGAAGACCACAAAAGACAAAAGAAAACACAAGTGAATCTGATACCAAAAAGCTAGCAACTCTCCTATGATTCAAATATTCCTGGGCTCAGAGATGAAGCTGTATAGTATAAAACCTATTTTAAGTTGGTTCCCTCATTCCGCTCAGCCACCTGCTCTTCTAGATTTGGAGGAAGTATCTAATGTGACAAGACTTACCAGTTCATAATTGGGCAGCTATGTTCATCAAAGCACCATTACATCCTACTGAAATTTACCTCCTATACATTCATCTTATAGGATAGCACAGAAGTCTATTTCTGTATAAGATTTCCATCAACCATTGAAAGGAACTATCTTGGAAAAATTGTATTGTTTACTATGAATAGAACAAAGCAGTATGGGCAATATAAAATTAGTAAGACTTCTTGTTGCAAGTAGAGTCATAACCTAATTGTGATAAAACAGGTCCAAAAACTGCTTAAAAAATTGAAAATAAAACATGTGAAGGATTGAGTTTAGAAATGGACACTTTGGGTTAGAGTTCCAGCTCTAAGGCTTATAAGATATTACTCTAAGGAAGTATAATCTTCAATTTCCTCATCGTCAAATTGAGTATAATAATGTCTAAACTGCACAGCTGTTGAGAGAAAGCAATTAGAGGCAATGTTTGATATATAGAGATGCAAACATATAATTTATAGTTGCTTCTGATATCAATGCTATCATTTTATTTACTAATAATTAATGTCATCATCATTTCAAAGAGAAACACAAAATGCAGTGGATTTCCTCAAAAATAAAAAAATGGTATCCAATATATGTAACTATAACCCCTCTGTACATCACCTTTACCCTAACAATAAATAAATGGAAATAAATAAATAAAGGAAAAAATCTCTGTCTGACAAAGACAATCATGATTCTTACATTCCATGAAGTTTAGTTTATTTGCAACTTAAAAAATGGAACTGTTGAGGGGCTCAGGTGAAAAAGGCCCACCTGAATCTCAGATCTTCCAGGTTCCTTTTGGGTTGGAGATATCCTAAAACTATGGATCGTCTACATTTGCTCTGAGACATGATTTAGATTGCTTTTCTGGAAACCCTGTATCTACTCTAAAAATTGAATGTATTTTAGAACAGACCTATGGCCATTGGTAGCAAAGTCAACATAGAACTATGCTCCATTGTGTTCTGAGAGAAACCTTTCGACTTGTTGGGTATCCTGTTCAGTATGGCTGCATAGCCCATTGTGCTATGTTGATGGAGTTCTGGACTATCACTGGAGCTTACAACTCAAAATTCAGATATTGTCTTCGCAGAAAATCTTAGCCAACATTTTTATGGTATCCAAAGAAGTGACACTGTGATTGCAAAAGGTTCAAGTGATCCAAAGTCAAACATTTGTAAATGAGTAATTGCCCTGAAAGGAGACAAAGTCTTCATCACTAGTCCATCTGATTTCTTTTAAAACCATAGTTATAGGCCAGCGGGTCATGTTTGGCTAGAAGGAGACAATCTATATAATTTCATAGATTCCAGATACTATAGATCCATTCCATATGGACTCATAAAAGGAGAAATCTTCAAGATCTCCCTGCATGATTTTGGATTTCTATGTGACAGCCCAAATAGCAAAAGATTTTCTGACAAGTAGCAAACATTTATTCTTTTTTAACATTTTTTTACATTTATTCTTTTGACTTGATTATTGTCTCCTGTTCAAGTGAATTCACACTGCAGCTGAAACCATGTACATGCCAATAAACTATCTGTACTTTTAATTATTTCAATTGCTAAATGCAAAGAACAGCAACATACTATTCAAGCTGTATTAGCTAAAATTTCTATACAAATGTAACCCAAGTGTCAAGAGAAGTATGTACAGTATTTTGTGGGAGTCCCTAGTAAAGAAAGACAATCGTGACAAAACTATTTATATTTTAGACCTCACAGAATTGCTCTTCTTCTTAGTACAGTGAGAGGCATCATCTTTCTCTGTTTAGGAATTGATCCATATGATGCATAAAGGAACTGAGAATTGTATGATTGAACCTGCAAGGTCACAAGGATGTGCAGGTGAACAAAGTTACCCCACCAGACTATCCCACACTACTGAAAAGAAGGATTAGTCTGGGATGTCTTAGGATTGAAGTAAGGCCAATGAGAGTCATTTCTGAAACTCGGATCAGTGCTCAAAGGATCAAAAGCTTTGCGGGAGCAGCCTCTTGCACGACAGGAAAGAGCCTGCCAAAGGGAGAGAGCAAATCAAACTAGGAAAATCAACCATCAAAAGTGAGGTCAAACAGTCTTCTCTACATTGACTTCCCAGTTATGAGCTAAGAGACACATCTTCCCTCTCCGTCCCCTCAGGTACACATTGATTTAAAGAGAAATTTGTTTGTGATTTCTGAACAAGTAATTTTAAATTCTGTTAATAGAGAATTTTGCAATTATCTGAATTGTAGAAGTAAAACTGGCATCTTGCTTACTAGCAGCCTGATGGTGCATCACAAGTAGGGAATGGTGGTGCACTCCCCCCCCCACCCTACACACACCTAACTACCTATCTTATCCCCATATCCACCCATCTTTAATATTGCATTCTCTCACCCTCAATGTCTAATCAATTATTCTATCTTGTGAATTTACTTCCCCCATTGTTTCTCTCATCTGGCCCTTGATAACCATTCACTCCTATCCTCCCTCATCCAGGAAAGAGCATTACCAGCTTTCTAAGTGGTTAACCACATCCACTCTTGTCCCTCTCTAATCTTTGGAATCAAAACACTACTGAAACTATATATATATAAAGGATAAATCCAAGTATGTCACATTACTCTAGCATCAAGAGGCCTTCAATGACTTCTCAGGACTCTTAGGATAAATTCCAAGACTCCTAAATATAGCTCTATAAAGCCATGGGTATGCAAGTACTGGCCTACGTCATTAATTGCATCTAGTGAAAGCCCTGTCCATGTCCTCACATTCCATGTACACTCTGACCCCTTGAGTTCTTCCAGAATACCATGTTCCCCCAAAATCAGATCTTTACCACCCTGCTCCCTCTACAGGTAGGCTCCTATGTCCTTGTCTACCTTTTACCCAGCCCTAAAGCCCTACTGCTTCAAAAAGCCACTAAACTAAGATTTTACTTCTGTAGCACTAATCACCAGTGGAAATAATAACTCATTTTGTCTATCTTCTCGAGTTTCTAGGCTAATGGTTCTCCTTGCACTAAGATCCTAGATCAAAAACATTGCAATCACCTGGAGCTTTCTTGGAAATGCAAACCCTCACACCTTGTCCCAGACTGACCACATAAGAAAATGTGGAATGGGACCCTTCAGACAAGTCTGAGGCACACTGAACTTTGACATTCACTGTTACACATCTATGAGGACATCTCTATTTTCCTTCTATCCTTAGTTCTGCCTTCATCATCCAGCACTCTGTATAGAATCTGTTCTCAGTAAAGATTCATGGAATAAATGAATGAGTAGGCATTCCATATGTTCACGATGTTAATGAGACTAGCAGGATCAGAACAGTTCCAACTATCTATTACAATATTCCTGAAAAACCTCCCTTCCTGAAAGAACTCAGACTATTTAAACTCAGATTCAAACTAAATGAGGAAACATGTAATTTTACTATGAAGTACAGGTTTCCAAATTAAGCCAAAAAGTAAGTGTCATTTCAAAGATGTACAAATATATGTGAAATTGGGTATAGCATCCACTTTCACTTCTTTTTGTAATCTGGCATAGGCTGGTATAAGCCAATTCTTTAATTAAGAGACTGATGGTCAAACAACAGGGTTCATGTTTACATTTTTCCTCTGGCTAAATGTCATTTATATGGTAATTACTTTGCATCTTCTAAATAGAATTACCCTGTAATCTGCTAAAAATGAATTAGCCTATGGCTACATAGATTTTGTTGACAAAACCTGAGTGACAAAATAAATAAATAGAAGTTACAGCATATTTTAATTTTAATTTAATTTTAATTTCCTGGTATCATTACTTCTGAAAAAAATGCATTAAAATACAGGTCATTTATGGATCATACTCCACATGCTAGACTCTGACTTTACATGAATATTTAGTGTATTCATATGGAAGTCTTATAAAGTAAGTAACAGTATCAACCCCATTTTACAGATGTACACATACCCAAAGAAAAAACAAAACCCTGAAGATTAGAAATATCAAATCATTTGTCCACAAAATTATTGAGTAGATTTGAAAGTCAAAACCATGAAGGCAGGTATCCACATCTAAGCTCTTAGATTCCCTCTGTTTTGTTTGCAGGCATTTGTGACAAATTTCATGAACAAATTAGAGTGTGTTCAAACTGGGAAGAGAGCTGGGTCAATATGAGATGGTGTCTGAACACTGCTAATACCTTTCCTTCTTCATCACATGGAGTATGGATCTGGAAATAGTCTTTTGTCGTGCAGGGAGGGCGCTCTACACACTCACTGGCTCCTTCTTCTGCAATGCATACAAAAAGGCATTTCAGAAATGGGTCAGTTCCTTTGTGACACTAAGAAAAGACAAACATTCTAACAGAAAAGCAAACTAAAAAAAAAATAACCTTGCCAGAGCAATTTATATAGAACTGGCTAGGCTTAAAGAAAATAAAGGCTCACATTTAAATTTTCCCTAGAGGAAATAATGAATGTCTTCATGATACACATGGAGCATATAACAGTTTTTCCCAGAAGACATTAGATTTGTTCCACTTTCATTGCATACTGGAGATTTGGAACTACATGTTTCCAAATAGGTCTCTATGACAACAAATCATCTGAAAGTAAAAAGTTTGTTAGGCTGACATAAACATATCCATAGCACTTACCTGGTAGGATATGGGATAGAAGAAAATCATAAACAAAGGGATAAAGTCATGGAGAAAGGAATAATAACAATGTTCTGAGGGGGGTTGTTTTCTTCATGCAGTATTAATCCATGTAGCACTTTGTTGGCTGACCCACATACTACGGTCATATTTTTGTTGTTGTTGTTGTTTGACTCATGAAGGTATACTTGACCAACATTAACTTAGAGAAAAAGCAATGAAGAATAAAACCTAGCCTTACCTGAAAACTGGGAGTCCTCCTTACATCTTATGCATTCTTTTGCACCTTTCTCAGAATAGGTGTTTCTGGGACATACTTGGCAGTTGAACGAACCTGGTTTGTTGCTGAAAGTACCTGGCTTGCATGGAAAACACTCCGATGTATATGCCACCCCTGTGTAGAAATGAGGATTGGCGTGAGAAGGGGAGCCTGGCAGCAACAGCAAATCTCATTTTGCAGAGAGAGGAATATGAATAGTAAGATCAGGCCAAATGCTTGCATTTCATCAATTCAGTACTAAGAAAATATGTGCTGTATACAAGGAGCTACAGTGACAGAACATGAATCCAGCACAAAGACAAGAAACACTTAACAAAGAGATTTATACTGGTTCAATAAACATAAACTGAGTAATCAAAAGTTTAGGAACACTTGTCCATTTGCTGTGAATTCAACCTCCCGTAATGTTATAAATAAAGGACAACTCTATTAATCAAAATGGGACAAACTCGGTGTCAAATTCATAAGCCTGTTATTCTCTTATATAGATGGCTATGTGTTTCATTTTACTCTACTGCTTCACAGACAATACCAAACAGACTCAAGGAAGGGGTTGACTAGTTTTCTGGTTTGCAACTCCAGCCTTGGTTAGTAGATCTCTCTGTAACTAATGAGCTAATGTCATAGGAATAAGCCCACATATAGTAAAATATAAACCAAACTTTAATAAAGAAGACTCAGTACCATAATTAAATGAACCCCTAGCTTAAAATGAACCATGCCAGGGTTTATCACCTATTCTGCTGTGTCAAATGTGACACTATTGATTCAGAGAGACACAAAAAAAAGTTTAGGAAAAGGCCAGGTCAAAATGATCATTGCCTTCATGGCTAGAGCAGAAATCAGGTTATCAAATCCCTGAACAAACTCACAATACATTTCCCTAATAAATAGGCTTTTATTAACAAAGAAGCAGACATTTTGAATAAATACATCCCAAATTGTCCTTACGTGTAATTCTTTATATAGATTAAATGCTACCATTCAAAGGTATAAGGAAAAAGAAAATATGCATTATACCTAATAATAATTCTCACTCTATAAGACCTTGGGTACAAAAAGACAATACTCTAATAAGTAGTTAACTATAAAACTGGATAAATTGGCTACCAAACCATATTTCCATGAGCTACCTTCAATTGTGATATTTTTTACCAATACAGGCTTGACTGCCTTAGAACCCATGAGGATGCCTGTTGTTCTCCAGTAGAGTATGTTTGTGCCAGATTTCAGCATTACCTGTACAAGAAACAAGACAGGCCAGATAGGTCATCTATTTCTAATCACACTCAAGGCTACTCCTTTATATACTTTTTCTATGCATTATAATGAAACACCATTAAAACAGAGCTAATAAATTTGAGTCTCCTGTTGATTCCAACATGAGCTCTACTAAAGTACAGATCTACATATATAGTCTGACAACAAGTAAAATGTACTAAGAAGGAAAGAAACCTTTAATGATAAAATTTTTTTTCAAATCATTTGTAGAAGATCTTGGCTTATATGTAAAGGGGATTCATTGTAAGGAGTAAAAGTCACTGGGCTCCTTTGGACTACTATGGACTACTGCTATTCATACGTAGACCTTTGAATTCTGAAAAAATAAAGACAATAAATGAGTTGCTTCTGCTATGACTTGGACATGGATTGAGTATATTGTTCCCAAAAGGCTTGTGTGTGAGAAGCTTAGTTCCCAGGGTCACAGCATAAGAGTTGGTAGGACTTTAGAGTGGTGGAGCTAGTGAAAGGTAGTCAGGTCACTGGAGAACTACCCTAGGAAAAGGGTAGTTCTAGTTTCGAGTTAATTCCTGTAAGAATGAGCACCTATAGAAGAGCAAGCCTAGATCTCTCCTGAATCTGCTTTATTGTGTGACAGCACTCACACACACATACTCATCATTACAAGATCCTCATCAGAACTTGGCAGATGTTGATGCCATGTTCTTTGACCTCCCAAACTGACCTTTCCTTTCTTTCTTTTACTTATGCATTTTGGCCATACTAGGGTTGACCTCAGGGCCTTGTGTTTGGTAGGCAGGTGTTCTACCACATCAGCCGTATCTCCAGCCTCCAGTTTGTCTTCATTATTTTCAAGATAGGATCTCACTTCATGCTAGCACTTAGCCATCATCCATCTCCCACATCTCCCACAGCTGAGAGAGCAGGCACACACCACTACGCCCAGCCAATGAGTGAGATAATTCTTGGGAACATTTATGCCTGGGCTAGCCTTAAACTGCCTTCCCCTGAATCTCTGGTTCTCAAGTATCTAGGAATACACACACACACACACACATACACACACACACACACACACACACACATACACACACACACACACACACACTTGAGCCACTAGGCTCATTAAAACCTTCCTCTATGTCTATGTCTATGTCTGTCTGTCTTTTCTTCCCACCCCCCTCTCTCTGTGATTCAGTGATAGTGGAGTTTTGAACTCAAGACTTGTGCTTCTTAAGTAAAAACTATACCACCTGAGCCTGAGCCATCCCTCCCAACCCTTCTTTTGTTGGTAAAATACCCAGTTCCATGTATTTTGCTACAGCAATAATAGACTAAGGATGCAGCTTTTCAAAAAGTTATTTCATCAACACCACCATAACAACAATATAGACTAGAAAATAGAACTGTTTGTTCTTACCAGCAAACAATAAAAAGTCCTTACTTTAAAATTTTAGGTGATAGGACATTGAAAGATTTCTTCCCTTTCCACTAAAATGTTTTTTAATTATAAAGCAAGGTAATCTAATAAGCTTCATGCCCCTTCATATTTGTTTGTTCCCTTTATTCTAGGCAGGGTCTGGATGATCCAATTCAAGCTGTAAATTAAAAACTAATCAACTATTTCACCTTGGCAGAGATTTGCGAAAGTAATGAATAAGCACTTTCTCCTTATATTAAGTCCTCGTAAGCAAAGCAAGCACATTTGTTGCCAAGGGTTTCTTGAACTTAAGACCAGATGATTGTATGCTTATGTGAATGGATCTTAAGTGGTACTAATATTACTTTCCAGTATATGGATAATTTGTTTTAATCTCTGAGAGGACACATTGTGATCACTTAAACATATGGTGCCTGCTACAAATACAAAGGCAAGGATCGATGGGCATCTCCTAAAACACAATTCAGTCTACATTGCAAATTCCTTCCCACACATCATCTAATAAGATTATCCTTATTTCTGAAATGAAAAACAAAATCATAAAAAATCACAAGCAAATAACCTAAAGAAACATAACTATAAGCCAGGGTGAGATTTTAAATTTCTACCTCACTGTAAGAGGGCACCTTAAATAAGAATAGATTTCTTGAAGTTTGTTATCTACTAATTTTGTCTTCAGGCATTTAAAGAGATTTCTAGTCAAGAAGTAGGCAATTATTATACTTGAAATGACCAAAGATGGTAGAGTGTTGACCAATAGGTTTGAACTTCCAAAGGTGAGAGAATCTTGTAAACATAGAGCTAACAAAACAAAATCACTTACTGAAGCTAGTTCAAAGCTGGATAAAATATTCCAAGATTTTTTTCCCATTAACAAGAGCCACTGGTTCTATTACTTGTGACAGACACATTTGCAAACTTGCATATGTAAACTTTGTAAACGTTTTTCTATCAGTTTTATTGGCCTTCTTGCTGTCTCTTTCCTTTAAACTTGGAAGAAAATTAGAATAGAAACTAGGACAGGGTAAGAAAACACAACTGAAAAAGTAAGAATCTGAATCCATAAAATTTATAATTTCTTCCGTGAATAGAAAATTATCTAAATTAAAAAGACCACATTTTGATTTTATATTTCTAAAAAGTGAATACTAATAAAGAGTTGAGAAAATATTAAAAATAATGGAATCAGTGAGAAAGAAGAAAGAAAAACAAAAGAGACTCACAGAATGAGACCCCCATTCTCCATTGTCTGTGAGTTTTACCCACTTGTCCGTGGTGGCATCCATCTCCTGGCACTGGTCATTTTGAATCTGTGGATTAAACACAAGAGACTCAGTAAAGCTACTGGAATAATAGGTTTCATTGAATTCTGTTCCCAGCACAGACTGCAAAAATGCTTTTCAAAACATACTAAACAAATCAGCCAAATCTGCTGAAGCCAAAGGGACAACTGCATTTGAGTGCTTGCTTCTAAGTAAACCATCTCTTTACTGTAACAAAAAGGCCAGTCCATTAACTAGAAAGAGGGAAAAGAATTTCACAAAACATACACCCGACTTATCAAAATATTTTAACAGCTTGAATTCACTATGCAAGTATGAATGTATAAAAATATAAACAAAATTGATGTCTATATTTGTGGCAATAAAATTTTAAATGAATAAACAAAGTCTGTTCTGTTCTGCATTCATCAGAACTTAATCCAAACATAGCAGTAAGTGGCTATGTCCAAAATCTAAGTTCCAAACTTTTATTTGGGGAATAAATATTATTTTGCCATGCAACTTCAAATACCTACAGATAATATCTTTAGCATCAACATCTTGTACAATCTAGGCAATTCTTCCAAAATGCCTAAGTGTTAGGAAACTACACTTCTAGGTCTACGAAGAAGGAAGAAGCATCCAAAGGTTAGGATATCTTTCTATATTACAGTCAGTAACAGAATCGGGTTCAAGAAAGAGCTTATCACTTGTACTTATGTTGAGAGAATTCTATTTCTCTAGTCTTGAAATCATTTTCTGCTGTACTCAACCTTCTAACAAATTTACATAACTTAAATTGTTAAACAGGTAACAGCAGACATCATTTATGATCATGACATTCTCCCCTTATTCTGGGGATCTGAGATCCATTCCTCATTCTAAATCTAGTGAAGATATAAACTTAATGCTGTTTATCTCTAGCTTTCATTTTCATCACTTTAAAATATGGTAGGGTTACACAAAACTCAGATATAGTTCTGAAATTAAACATTTTCTGCTTTAATATATGCCATGTTCACTTTTCTCATTCTCAGAGCACACCTATATCTTTCAGTCTTCAAACACTCCATTTTATTAACCACTAACTTAATGACTGCAAACTGTTGGGAGCCTCTGAGTCAATAAATGGCAATCTAGAAAGCTGAAATGTCAGTAAAAGAAGCTGAAATTTGTCACTGCTTTTCAGACTATGACTAGAAGAAATTTGCAATTACAAAGGCAAGCAATGAAATGTTAGGCCCTAAGAGTACCTTTATTGATAGTTTTCAAGGGATCTATCGGGCAATACTAAATGCTTGGTCTTATAATTAGATACTTGTCTTGTTTCCTGACTTGAATTTAGCAATGCTGATGAAATGTCCCAAGGAATTGAGTCTCTGCAATGGAAAGTGTTCTGCAAACAAAATGTAGCTTAAAAAGCAAATATGTCTGAATGTTGCTTAATATCCTAAATTCAACAAAGGATATTAGTACAAGCAGGCTCCTTAATACATCCTCTCACAATCCACTTAATTAAAAGGAATGCTGAGGGCCGGAAAGTTAACTTAATTGTTTGATACCATAGCTAACAACTATAGAACTGGAACTAAAGCCAGAATCTTGACTTCAAATCTAAGGCTCATACTTCATTGAAAATATCTCTTGCTACCAAATTTTTGACTTAGAAATTCTCATTATTGATTTACAAATACCCATTACCAAAACATACAATTTGTTTTAGAATAATTATAATGCATTTGTTTATAAGCCACTGATTTTTTCCCATTTGCTAGCAAAACACAAATGGTGTTCAGTTTAAGAAGACAATCTGGAAATACTTTCTCAAGCATTTGAGTCCATGTCTCAATTAATATTTAGTAGAGTAAGTATTGTTTAATTAACATAGTAAAATAACTTTGGTGGTTATTCTGTTAGTCTGTTATTGTATTGTATGTTTTATAATGCTATTTAATCCAATATAACTATCTCATCCACTAATTCCTTTAGAATATACAAAATTCACAGAATCACAAACATATAGCCATTTCTACTTTTAAAATAATTGGCCATGAATATATCTAAATATTCCTAGTGAGTAAAATAACTGAATTTCCAAAAAAGTAAGTTAAAACTAAAGTTGACAAAAATGCATTTTTAGCAAAATAGCATTTGTAAGTATAAAAAAAAGAAGTTCAAATGAATCATGAGAAAATGTTTGTCACATGTAGTCTAAAATAAATGGTCATATAATGAACATAACCAAAAGCAAATCAAGACAAATTTATACTACAAAGGAGAGTGCCAAAGTAAAGAAACAATATTAACTAGAAAACAAAAAACTATAGAAAAAGTTAAATGTCCAATTAACAACAGGAAGTTCAGTTAACACACAGAAAAATAATTGAGGAGTCAGAAAGCAGACTAGAAATTTCTATGAATGTATCTTTAAAAGTAAACCCAAAAATATAAAAGGCCTTACAAAGAACTCAAAGAAGATGTTGTTGTCCACATACTGGTACTCAAAGAAGACATAGCCTGACTTTTTAAGGTGCACAGCATAAATCAGAGACACCGTGCAGTCATCGCGATTAGATTCTATGTAGTTTCCTCGAGGGATCCAAGAAGAGCTGTGGAAATAAAACCAGAAAGTGTTTTATGTTGGTATTCAGAAACCTCTTCTGCTCATAAAGCTATCGCCCAGATTCAAAATTAATTTCATTAGCAAAGCATAGCAGAAATCACCAGAAGTTTTTGTGCAGCTACAGGCCAACTGCTTTACTGAAAAAAGGTTCATATTTTATGGCATTAGCTTCTAATCCTAGCTAGTCAGGAGGCTGAGATTCTGCCTTTGATCATGGTTCAAAGACAGCCCCTAGGCAGAGAAGTGCTCCACATTCCATTCCCAAATAACTACTAAGAAACAGCTGGAGGCATTGCTCACGGATAGAGCATCAGCAGAGCAGACAAGCTGAGGGAAAGTGAGACCCTAGTACAGTATGCAAGTACATACAGAATGTATTAACTAAAGTATGGTAGATTCAAGAGAGATCTCAAATAGTGAAATTCATTAGAAAGCCAAAATCAGCGTTCAGCAAAATAAAATATCAGGAAGCAGGTACTCAGGTCAAGGGCAAAAGGGGAGAAAAATGAAGAGGGGCAAAATGCAGACAAGAATCCAATATGTTTCTTACAAAATTAAGAAGAGTGATGGAAGGTGTGGGGAGGGGAGCGATGGGTGAGAACACGGAAAGGGTGACATTGATAAAGATAGACTGTATTCATGAATTTCTTTGTTAAATGACAACTTCTCTGTACAACTACTTAAAGATTTTTTTAACCCTATCACCTGAAGGACATAAAAAGAATTTCTAGCTTTCACAAATTTACTACCTAGGATTAGCAAAGCTAGCTTATGATATAAAGGAAAAATTAACAACACAAAAAATTATATATTTTTTCCAATGTTAAGCTTCTTGCTATCAAACAACAGCATTAAGATTAAAAAAAGCAAAGCTAAAGACTTGGAGGGGATAACAGCACATATACACACAGATACACTCATGCATATATGTGCATGTCCATAACAGTGAATGTTATATAAACATATGCAAAGAACTCATGTTCATAATATTCAAAGAACTCTTTTGGCTTAATAATTATATATTCTGCATGACCCTATCAATCAACAATAAACAATGAGCATGGAAGATTATGGAAGTAGAATAAAAGGCAGGGGGAAGGATGGAGGAAATAGAGCAACATTACACTGAACTTTATATTGAATATGCTAGAAAACACTACATTGAAACAGTTCTTCCTTATCACATAAGTTCTTTCATGAATAAGCTATTCCAGGAATATAAAGAACAGTCCAAAACAACAATCTAAGGTCCTTTAACCCCAAACCCTCCTCTAAGAAGCTACTTGTTTAATACACAATATGTGTACATATAAACTTGTATGGCTAGAATATGGTTTGTCCTTGACAGGTGTGTACTAATAGGAACTGTCAATAGTAAGTATTGAGATTTGGGGTCTTAAAGAAGTATTAGGTGGATAACAGACTTCATAAATGGACCGAGGCTTTTCTCCTTGAATCTAGAGATAAGCTCCCTTTTCTCTGTGTGTGCCAACCTGCACTGTCATTTTCTGCTGTGTGGAAGCTTTTGAGTGGAAGCTGTACGAAGCCCTTATAAGAAGCCAAGCAGATGCCAGAATGCGGCTTTTGGACCTCCAGAACAATGAGCTAAATAAATTTCTTTCCCTTATGAATAACCCAGCCCCACTTTTCTAAGAACAGAAACAGATTGAGACATACACTTAGAACAATATTATCAGCCCAGTAAAATAAAACCACTGTTGATTGGCAGAGAGAAAGAGCTAGAGTGAAAAAGCAAAAGAAGGAAAAGAGGAAAAGTGGGAAGAAGTAAAAGGGAAAAGGAAGGAAGGAAACATATTTCACCACAGCTAAGTAATTTCTATAATCCTTAGATCATGGTTAAAAAAATAAAAATCATTAAAAAGAACAATTTTGGCTTCCTGAAAAAGAACCAAAAGGCAGCCAGAGGCCGAAAACATAATTCCTTAAGCATTGATATACTAAATTAAATATTACATAGGAGACAGGAGAGAATAGAAAGTGGTACATCCCAAAGGAACATGTTTCGCTTTATTATTTTCAAAACCAGTTATTATTCCTTGCATGTTATTAACAATGCTAATAATCTCCTAAGAATAAGTTAATGACCTTTCTACCCTAAGTACTTAACCTAGTACTATCTTTTGCATGAGATAATCAAGACCTAAATGAAGATTATACACTTTTCAAAGGAAAAAGAAAAAAGTCAGGATTTATCCATTAAAAATTAAACAAAGGTTAAGAGAAATACCACTGACCTAATTTATAAATACACTGTGAGAAAATAAATTAGTTTCTCTAAAAACTCCATTCCATTTTGTAAAGAGTGTCTATTATATGTTAAGAAGTATCATTTAACCCCATGAAACTTTTACTAGGTTAGTCTTAACAACTATAAAAAAATATCATTCTTTGCAATTAGCTCATCTAGAATCCTCCTAAGCATGAAGATTATTCTTCAACTTCTTTCTGGGAAAAAGTAATACACCTTTCTAGTATTTAGTAGAGATCCAAAGGCTCCTTTGGATTCTTACTTGTTACAGCTGTCTGGCCTGGTGTCAGAAGGGCCCACGACAGTGTCCATGAATGTTGCAATGTTGGAAAATCCTGCTGGCAATTCATCCCATTCATCAAATTTGATGCCACTGCCCAACGAGTAGGTGCCTTCGGCACACTTGCTGCATACCTGGTTCTTCATTTCTAGATACTCTCCAGAAGCACATGAGAAAGCTGCAAGGCAGAAAAAGGCATGGCCGGTTAGTCACTGGCTTCCTCCATTAACTTTCTCCTCTTCACATGGTCACTAGAATAAAGTTCATAAAATTCTGATCATATTACACTCCAAGGAAAGACCTCCAATATCTCCCTTATAGCTACATGTCTTTGCTTATTTGATTCTGCTCATTCCTTGCCCCACACTTCCAATCAAAACAAAATATATGTTTTACCCTAAATATTTCATTGTCTCTTTTGCAATTTTTCCCGTGTTTCTCAGAGATGTTGCCCAAATGTTCTATACCTGAAAAGTAGCCTATCTATGAAGACTACTATCATCCTCACTATTTAATTAGCTGTTCCCACTTCATATCTCCTGCAGTTTGCTTTCTATATTACCTCTATTCAAACCCTTACTCTGAGAGATATCACTTAACAGACAGCATGTAACTTTGAACTTCAGGAAAACAAGGGTCATTATTATGGAACTCCTACTCTTAGTACTATGTCCTAATCAAATAAGTCCCTAGCACATACTAAGATCAAATAAAACATTGATTTAGAGAATTAGAACAAAATAAAAAGGGAGTAAAATAGGGGTAGTATAGTAACTAAATAAGTTATCTCCACTCTAAAACCTTAATCATACTTTGTCAATATTTATAATGCCAACCGAAGCCATTTGACAATCAACGTCTTATTTCTAATGTTAAGCTTTCTGCTTACTCTAAGAACTGTATGCAGAGTAATCAGACATAGATACAAACAATAATCAACACACAGAAAAGAAAAGAGCCCTGCTGCTAAGATATTATTTATTCAACAAATGCAAATCAATGTCCCAAAGTGTAAGACTCTATGCAGGGTAGTATTATTGAATCAAATGTACAAAAGGACTAGTTAATCCTTTAATCGGGATATTAAAGAAACAAGAACAAAGGAAAATACCCAAATTATCTGATGAAAAACAAATCTCCCAGCAGAGTGAAGTAGCAAATATTCACATTAATAGAGTCTTCTTTCAAATACATTGGGGACTTAGCTAGAAATAAAAATAAGCTAATTTTGAAAGACTAATTAAAGAATTAGAGCTAAAACCAATACTTATCTACCTACTCACCCAAAAACTTAACAATGCTATATAATGAACCTTGACACTCAAATCAACCTCCCCAAACCAGTGAAATATCAGTCTATAAAAAACAGATTAGGCACAAAATATTACTTACTAGCTACAAGGCCAAAATTATCCAGGGATGAAAGAAACTAACCTGTGAACAGGTTGTGCCACTTCCTAATGAATGAGTAACTTTCTCTCTCTCGGCTTTGTTCTGTGTCCAAAAAATGAGCTATCATAGTTAAATAAACTGGTTAACATAATTCCTTACATAAAACCAATGCTCATTATACATTATTATAATTACAAACCAAATAATCAATAGAAAAACACAGCTATAGAAAAAATGTTTTTAGTTTCAATAGTTTATAGGTCTGAAAATCAGATAATATTTACCTACTATGATTTAAAAAAATTATGAACAAGATCCACTGGGACACTAAATCAAGGATCATCAAAAAGTCCAGTTTAAGCTGGGCATCAGTGGCTCACGCCTGTAATCCTAGCTACTCATGAGGCTGAGATCTGAGGATCGTGGTTCAAAGCCAGCCCAGGCAGGAAAGCCAAGTGAGACTCATCTCCAAATTAGACTTGGCACTGTGGCTCAAGCAGTAGAGAGCTCACCTTGAGCTGAAGAGTGCAGGGACAACATCCAAGCCCAAAGTTCAAGCCCTACGACCAATAACAACAACAACAACAAAAGTCCAGTTTACAGGCCAAATCTGGTGCACTATTTTTATAAATAAAGTTTTAATGAAACAGAACCACACTTATTCATTTGCACATTGTCCATGGCTCCTTTCATACCATAATAGTACAGAATTAAATAGTTGCAAATGGAGAATTCATCATCCACAAATCTGAAACTATTTACTTTCTGATAAAGTTATCTTGGAAGGCATTTTAGTCTGCATCCAAAATTGACTTTTTAATTTAATTAACAACTTAATAAAAATATTTTATACTATGTTTGTATATAAGTCTATGGAAGCAAAAAAGGTAGAAAATTGTGTTTGCGATTTTAAACACAATGATTCTATTTGAGAGTTTTCACTATCCTATCAAAATTATGAAGAATATTAATTTTTTTAGTACTTCTATGAATCAGAAGGGAAAGAGAGGAAATGTTGAAAGTAAGCACATTGAATAGTAGGTTCTGTTATTGGTATTTTATAACTATATAGATTATTGTGTTTTTTATTGTCAAGGTGATATACAGAGGGGTTACAGTTACATAAGTAAGGTAATAAGCACATTTCTTGTCCAACTTGTTACCTCTTCCCTTATGTTTCTCCTACTTTCCCTTCCTCCCAACCCCACCATATAAATTATTGTTTTCATGGTAACACAAATTTGCCATGAACACAATGTTAGTGATACTGAGACATTTGTTCCTAGTAGAAATTCAGAGTTAGGATCCTGAGAGCTCCTGGTCACAAAACTTCTTCAATTTATTAACACCTAACCTTAACCTAATCTAACCTTAACCTTATTTCTCCTTGAAGACATCCCATTTAATATATACTATTTGTTCAGTCCATTAAATTCACCGTCAATTGAGTGTTCACCCATTCCTGGACAAAGCTTGTATAATATGCATCTTTTCTTTAAAAGGCCTATCTCAGACTTCTTGCACTTAAGATGCTAGCTGGCCCTTAAAGGGCCATGATAAGTAGAAGAATCAACTAAGTAACAAAGAATACTAAAAACACAGCACTAAATACAACACACACACACACACACACACACACACACACACACACAACACATATGGCTTGGGTGTGTTTTTTTTTTTCAATATGAGAGCAAAAATTTTTCACCTTTTCCAAATGGGTGTTTAGGTGATTCAAATAGTTTATCACTCTGCCCATATGCAAATGACTATGTAAGCACTAACAGTGTTGATCTGGAGATTATAAATAAGTTGTTTGGAATTAGCAAATATAGAGTACATTAATAATGAGAATCAGTTGTACTTAAAATAGAAATGTGAAGAAGGACGGTATCATGTCCTCATATCAGATGAAGAAACTGAGCCACGTCAATTTAAATAACCATATTATAAGCTTACGCATAAACAAATAACAAAGATGATATTCAAATTCTACTCTAATTCCAAAGGCAGTACTCCAAAAGAAAATTTAGCTCAATCAACCAATGAGCATAGGATAAAAATTTCAATTGAATTTGTTATTCTACTTCACACTATCCTTCCTTTCCTGCCCTTGTTAAGCAATGTTTATCTACATTATAAATTCATGACCACTTTCTATTCTCAATACTTTTGTGTCAGTCCTATTGCTTGAACTCAGGATCTGGACACTGTCACTGAGCTCTTTTGCTCAAGGCTAAAATTCTATCACTTGAGACAGAGCTCTACTTGCAGCTTTTTTGTTAACTAATTAGAGATTTAAAAATCTAACAGATTTTCCTGACCTCAGATCTCAGCCTCCTGAATAGCTAAGATTAGCAGCCCAGTTACTTTCATATCTTTATGGAATTTTAAATATGTCATACAATTTGAGAAATAATGTAACAAGTTCTTAACTTTCATAAGTCTAATGACCTTGCTTATATAAGGAAGATAGTAATATTAAGAATTAGTAAAGACAGTAAAAATGTGGGAATAAGATATTCCATGAAGACCATTCAGCAGTATACCTGCTTTCATTATATTTGATGTTGGTATAATTTGTGGAGGGGAAGGGCAAAAACAAACCGTTTAAATAGGTATACAGGTGGACCCATTGCAACAATAAGATGTACAAGTAGTTATGTTGAAAAACTAACTTTACAACTTTGGCTGGGCGGGGAGGAGGAGGGGCGGGAGGAGGGGGAGGAGATGGAAAGGGGAAACAAAGGAGGAGGCAAGAATGCTTGATAAGAAATGTACTCATTATCTTGCCCATGTAATTGTAACCCCTCTGTGCGGTATTGTCACAATAAAAAAAATTTTAAAAATATACAGGAAAGCTAAAACATCTAAAGCTTTTCAACTTTTTTAATCATTTGCATTTCTTCTGTCTTTCCATTCCAGTAGCCAATTCTTGAAACTCATGTCAAAGACAAAAAAAAAGAGAGAGAGAGAGAAAAGAAAATTGGAGCCTTGTATTCTTGTTAAAACTGAATTGACTCCTCATGATTATATCAGCAGTTAGCATGTCTGACCGGTTCTGGTTCTCACCAACAATGGCCTGCTTTTCCTTTTCTGTTATCTCTTATCGTAGCCTTATTCACTTTCTGTTTCAACACTGCTATCTTGCCATTTGGCTTTTAATCGGATTATAAGGGTCTTTTCTTTTTTAAATCTCAGGGACTATATCCATCATTTAATTCTTTTTGAATTAACATGAACTTTTCAACAATCAAGATGATAGGCAGTTATTATAAAAAGCTGTTGTTAGCTTTTTCATTTGTTAGCTTTTTCATTCATTCTTTTTCATTCATTTTCATTCATATCAGTCATGTCTAAAATAAATACTAGTTTTCTTCTTTCACAATCTCAAAATCCTACAGTAACTGAATTGTACTAAAGATAAACAAAGTCCACATTTTTTGATGGGATAACAGAAAGAGATTTCCTGCTTACGGTCTTTATTGATTTTTCAATACGGTTTTTCTTCCCAGTACTGTAACTGACATATTGAAATTTCCTAATATTACATTGTTGTCATTTCTATCTTAATAACTGCCAATATTTGCTTTGTATACTTAGATGCTTGGATGGTGGATGTATTTACAATTTTGCGATATTCCAGTTATTGTTATGTAATGATCTTTGTCTTGTACCTTTTTTTTGCCAGTCCTAGAGCTTGAACTCAGGGCCTAGGAACTGTCCCTGAACTGCTTTTACTCAAGGCTAACACTCTACCATTTAAGCCACAGTGCCACTTCAGGC